CAGATTCAGTGAGCACAACCAGTACCAAACAAGAGTCTTTAAAATCCTAAATATATCAAAGTGAAACTATAGAAGATCAAATACAAAGAGAAGATCTTTAGAGACTTCTTGGAAATGATAAGTAGAGGACGGCAGACTTCTCAGCAGCAATAATCAAATTCACAAGACAATGAAAAATAATTATCACCCTAGAATTCTGTAATTCACTCTTCCACTCAAAAAAAAAATTTAAACTAAAATTAATTAAACTTTAAGAGTGGTTGAAATAAAATCATTTTCAGACAAATGCTCAGAGAGTTTACCACTAACAGATACTCTCTGAAAGAAATATACTAGGATGTACTTTAGGAAAAAGAGATTCGAGCTCAGAAAGGAAAAGTAGAATGTAAGGAGCTATGTGGAGGAAAGAAATAGTAAACATGGTTAAAAATAAATATATATTGAATGTATAAAATACTAATAATCTGAAAGATATAAAAATTAGGTGTGAACTAAAATACTGGGCAATAATAAGATAGGGGAGGTATGATAAAATTCAAGGTGTGCTAAGGTCCTGAATTTGGGGGGAAGAAAGTGTAGATAGGAATTAACTTGATACTACCCAATATGCATATTAAAAATCAAACACAGAGACAGGATGTATCATCTCTTAATGAGTAGAGGGGAAGCATACAATAAAAAAAAAGATTCAATTACACGGACAGAAGGTTTTTAAAAAGCATAATAAATATAAAGCACTAAGAGATAAATAACTAAATCCAAGAAAGTTTATAATGACAACTATATAAATAGACCAAAGTTTCTGATGAAAGAATAGAAATTCTCAAATTAAAATTCTTATCAAAAGCTCTATGCTATATATTCTCGGCAAATATTGACCAAAACAAAAGCAGTATAGATATTTGGGCAAATAGGCATTAGTGCCCAAAGGATTATTAAGAATCAAGATGGTCATTACATGATAAAAGGAACAACTAATAAGAAATATATAAAGTCTCAATTTATATAATTTACATATAAATTTATATAATTTCTAAGGCAGAGGTAAGTTTGGTGAATTGAAGGGACAGAAAGATGGCCAGCGTGGCTCTAAAGTGCCCCATCCAGGGGCACCTTCTCCTCTCGCTCTATAACCTCTCAGTGTCAGCGACCCACTGTCACCTACAAGCAAGGACTTGCAAGAGCTCTTCCCTAGACTGTATGTTGGCCATTTCCATCAGGGTCCCCAGGCACCTCACACCCAACATGCCTAAAGCTATACTCCTTATCCTCACTTCCTCCGCAAATACACTCTTCTTCCTGCGGTCCTGTCTTTGTGGGGCTGTCAGAACCAACTGGTCACTCAAGTGGAAAACTAGGAGTCTTCAAGTGGACCTTAGCCCAGTGTCCACAGGTCTTTGTGTGGCAAATCAACACTGCAAGTCAAACGGTGTTTGGGAAGAGGCTCGGAGAACAGGAATCAGCAAGAAGAACTGGAGTATATTCTTTTACATTTCTGTAGTTTTTCTAATCATAAATAATCCAAACAAAAAGAAGGGTGTATAGTAAATCTTAAACGTCACTCAGGATCCCAGTTCCCTGAAGGCAATCCCTGCAATCGTATACATCCTTTCAGACCTTGTAAGTGCACACAAGCTATAGGCATATGTAAATTTATGTCTTAGATGTTTGCACAATTGTGAATATGTTATATATATTGTCCAGTTTCTTGCTTCTGTCACTTAATATATTATGATGTCTTTTCATATGAATTCTATTTTAATATGTGCATAACATTTCATTTTATGACTATACTTTAATTCATTTAACAAACCTAATGGACATATAAAATGTTTTAAATTTCCCACTTGAAGAAGCAGCTGCAGTGGACCACTTTGGATAAGCATCTTTGTGCATCTGAGTGAGAAAATCTGCGGAATAAATTTCTAGAAGTGGACTGTCTGGGTCAATGGATACTCACACTTTAATCTTGGATGGATGCTGCCAGACTGCTTTTAAATTGTTTTCTCAATTTACCTGCTTCCCAGTGGGTATATATTTCCCTACCAACTCCCTAGCACTAAGCATGATCAATCTTGAAATGTTTTGCCAATCTCATAGGTGAAAATATGTTTTTGCTGTTTTAATCTATATTTTGTTAGTTTGAACACCAAGTTTCTCTATTTCTTTTAAAATGAATGTCTAGTTCAAGTCTCCTGCACATTCACTATTGGGTTGTTTTCCTTTTTATTGAGTCGTAGGAAGTTCTTTATCCATGCACACTATTAACCTTTTAGTGTGTAATAAATGTTGAAAATATTTTTCCTCAACTTGTTATTTGTACTTTATTTTTATTTATGATGCCTTTTGCCTCAGAAATTTTAAATATTTATGCAGTTTGGCCTTTCTCTCGTGATTTCTGGCCTTATTTTTTTCACCACATGGTTTTTAATGATCTGCTAATGATTTTACTCTCTAGTTAATCACGACTTCCTCAGGGCAGAGGCTGCCTCTTCTGCAAATCTGTAGATCCCTAGCCAGAAATCACTCACCTCCCCAGCCTTGGCTATGGTAAGTGCTCAATAAATAAACACGCTTTAAAATTTTATGGAATCGACAGAGTTCAGCGTGCTATAAAATAGGCAAGCACAGAAAATTTAATTCTAACACTGAGGATGAGGGAAAAGCTCTAAGGTAAATTGGCCCGCGAAACCAAAATGCACGGTGAATCAGTTAGAAAGTGTGATTTCAATCAATAGGTGGAAATATGCTCAGGGTCAAATTCAGCAGATAATAGAAAATTATTAAAAAGATCACGAGAAATAGGTTCCGTATTTGTTTCATATCAAAAGCTGCCTTGTCACCGAATTATCTGTTTTCAGAATCAGAGTTTAATATGGAAGAGTCATCGTTTAATATAAAAATAGTCACGGCTTAATACAAAAAGTCAGAATTTCATATTAAAATAACAAAGTGGGGAGTTCACATGATAACCTGGATCTCATGTGAACCGCATGCCCGATGACCCTCTTTAACCACAATAGCTACCCTGGGCCTGCCCCTCGCTGGCGGCGCCGCATTGAGGGCACGTGGGGAGGGAGGAAGGGCAGACCGTCTGTGCCAGAGCTGCACACCCACGCGCTGAAATGCTCCAGCTGTTTACGTCCTCACTACTGCTTCACAAAACTTGGGAAAGCCGTGGGACTTTGAGGAAATCCCTTGGCCTCAGTTTGGCTACTTGAAAAACAAAAGGGTCACTGGGTGATCTCGGGGGCTGCTGCTAGTCCGACAGGGGTCAGGGAGTCTGGAGTCTTCCTGTGGAATGGTCGCCAGGGCCCTGCCTTTGTGCGATTCCCTGGCGATTCAATCGGAGGTGTGAAGGCGAACCATCACACTGTTACCAGCTGTTCGGTGAGGCTTCTCTGGGAGGCCCCAAGGGTGACAACACTGATGTCTGTATGAGTGAAATTAAATTCCAGGGTCTGGTGTGAAGCTGGAACGGGCCTTGATGTGTTTATCTCTCTGCTGCTGGGCTCCTGCGGGGCCTATCGCTCAGCTGAGATAAGAGGGAAGGGGAATGGAGTGGAAAGGGCAGTCTTCTCTCTTTATTTATGGCTTATAAACATTTTATTATATAAATCATACCCTGGTCACTTCCTAAAAAGACTCAAGATGGTTTATTAATTCACCTGAGTAACAGGTGCTCTATCCCGCTCTCTGCCAGACCCCATGGTGAAGCTACAAACACCTGGGGGAAATGAATCCGGTGTCTTCCCTGGTATTACAGAGGCACTGGGTGTACCAGGGCTATGAGGACACCGAGGGAGGAGTGAGCAGCTTTAATAGTCCAGAGGTGAGCCTGGTGGGGAAGAGAAAAGGGAAAGGAAATAATTTCTTGAGTGCCTTCTAAGAGGCAGTGTGTCATAATGATCAAGAGCACAAGCTTTGGGACAGATAAGACTGGGTCCAATCTCTCTCAACCTCAGTTTCCTAATATGCAAAGTGGGATAACAGAACTTTCCTTATGGAATTGTTGGGGAGATTAAATGAAGAATGCATATAAAGCACTGAGCATGCTGTCCAGCACGAATGTGGCAAGCACACAATTATAAATATTATAATGATGGTGCACTCAGTCACTGAGACTGTCTTTATCATCAAATACTGCATTGTGTTCGTTTCATAGATGAGGAAACAAAGGCTCCGAGAGCTTACACTACAGCTTGGAAGGGGGAGAAGCAATATTCTAACTAACTTCAAAGCCCATGTTCTTTCCACTGTTCTGATGCCTCTGAGGAAGTTTTCCCAGAAGACCTGAGGTGGGGTTTTTTTGTGTTTTTTTTTTAATGTTTTGCCTTAGATTTTTATTTTCACACATTCTGGTGACATTTTCCTTTGTAGGGAGCAGGGAGTTAGCAAGGTAAGCCTTTAGATGAGTCCATCCTCAATATACATTTAAAACAAACAATATGGAAATAGCCCGTGAGAAGGTGAGAAACATTCCAGGAATACAGTTGTCAGAAGACCTGATACTTGAGTTGAGTGATAAAGAATGAAAAGAAGAAGTTCCTTTGTGGAGGTTAGGCCCCATGAAAACGCCAGGCAAAGGGAACAGTATGTGCTAAAGCACAGAGACAAAGATGGAATGAGCTATCTGGGGTTGGGGTTGGGGGAAAAGCTGGTGATGTTCTGGGTTTATGAAGTTTCTCTCCATAGAGGAGGATGAGGCAGAGGCCCTGGAGACAGACCAAATGGAGGACTCAGCGATTCCATCTTATTCTCTGCCCACCTGAAGCTAAACCCTCACAACTAATGGGAATCAGAACCACCTCCATCCCATCTTCTGGTCTCTGGTGGCCCTGAGGTTCCCTAGTGTCCATTTGACCAACGTGATGTTCATTGCTGGAGCCTCTCTGAGTTTCTTTCTCCACAGTATCCTACCCCTTAGACCTAAGAGATTGTGTGTGTGTTAGTGGGTATTTTGAATTAAAATAAACAGAAGAGAGAATCAACCTACTCACCAGGGTTTGCTGTAAGGGCTCCAGATTAGGTGAGATCTGAGTAGGACGAGGTTCCGGTTTGGGAGGAGTTCCTAGCCTAAATAGGGAGACAGAAAATCAAAGTCAACTTTACCGTCAAGCTGGCCTTCAAGTGGGTCAGGGCTTGGGTCAGTGGCAGTACCAAGCGGCAGAGGAGAGTGTTGGCACCCTCATCATCGCCACCAGCCTGTTCCTATTCTTTGGTGGTCTTTTGGTTTCTATAGATTGAGTCCAAGTATTTTCTGTTAGGTAAAATCATTTGTGGTAGCCAGAATTCTAGGATGACCCTCACCCTTGTATAATCCCTCTCCTTTGAATGTGGATAGGACCTATAAATACAGTACCACTCTTGGGATTGTTTTATATTATATGGCTAAAGGGGATTTGCAGGGTGGTCCTGACTCCAGCAGGTTATCCCTTTAAAGGCAGAGCATTTTCTCTGGGTGGTCACAGAGGAAGAAACCAGTGAGACCTGCTCCTGCTGGCCTGGAAGAAAGCAGACTGCTGTGCTGTGAACTACCAACCCACAGAGGTGGCCTCCAGCTGCTGACGGGTCCCCAGCTGACAGCAAGAGAGAAAGCAGGGATCTCAGTCTTACAGCCTCAAAGAGTGGAATTTGGTCAACAACCTGAATGAGCTCAGAAGTGAAGTCTTCCCCCAGAGCCTCCAGAAAGGAATGCAGCCTGGCTGACCCTGAGCAGAGAACCCAGCCTTGCTGTGTATGCTCAGATGTCTGACCTACAGGACTGTGTGCCCATAAATGGGTCCTGCTTTGAGCTGATACATTTGTGGCAAACTGTTACACAACAGAAAACTAATACAATGGATATAAAAAGAACATGTCAGGTACTGTGTTTAACTCATTCATTAATGGGGGATCCACAGAACTGCACATGTGGGCCTTCAGGAATGTTGAAATAAATACAAAAGTAGTCAATATCCACAGAGCAATAATCATTGCCATTCCAATGGACAAAATTCATTTGAATTTCCGTGGATGGGAATCAAGGCATTACCAGTCTTCTACTATTTATAAAGCTGCAAGATAGCTCTACAATAACCAAGGAACAGATAACCTGTAAGAAAGGGTTATCTAAAAGGGCCAGATAAGAATTATCTAGAAGTTACTAGAAGGACTTCCAGTAATCTTTATTGCCCAGTTTAAAAGATTTTCACAATTTTTCCTTGTAAGTGGAAGTGAAGCTTCAAGACAGGCCACCACTGCCACATCCCTCACCCACAGCACTGCCACCACTGATTCCTGTCACATAGAGATTGTGAAGTGGCCACAGGCAGGGAGTCGGTGAGGTCAAGCGCTGGAGGGGCTCCCGCCTTAACTGTTGACATCTTTCATATCTGTTATCTCACTCATGATCTGTCTTCTCACAGACTCCTCTGGGTAAGGCGAAACAGGTAACGGTCACCCCCATCATGTTGCCAAGGAAACTGAGGCCCAGAGAGGAGGGGGAACAAGCCCAAGTTCACTCAGGGAATCAATGGCAGGTGTGACCCTAGATCCCTGCCCTTCTCATTCAGGGCTTGTCTTTTCCACACACACTCCCATCCTCAGGGGGTGAGCTTTCTGACCCCACGCCCTTCTCAGCTATGTGGTGGGCCGGTCTTCCCTCCACATGCAGGGCTTGGCTTCTGACTTGGGGACTGGCTATGGCCTCAGATGTCCTGTGTGTGTCCAGTCTGCAGACCGCAATCCCTGGCCTCTGCAGAGCCTGCCTGACCCAGCACCCCCAACCCCTGACCCTCTTTGAACACATTCATGCCTGCCTTCCCTTTGGCTCCCGCAGCCCAATAGCCCCCAGAACAGCACCCAGACATGACTTGCCCAAACCTGCTGTTCGGGGGCCACCTGCTCTGCCTCCCAGGCTGCCCACCCTGGCCACCCCCCTCTGTTGGTTTCCCACTGGCACATGGGCTGGGAAGTCATCTGGGAGGCCAGGCATGCCAGTCTGCCAGAGCCTCTTCCCAAACCCTCCTCCTGGCCAGTGCCAACTACTGGTGTGGGACAAGCCACCGATGCCAGGTCGGGCAGCTGGCTGGCAGGCTGGCCGCCTGCTCGGCTCACAGCGGGTAGAGCTTTTGTTTTGCTTTGCCTTTTGGATCCTGGAGCTGAGACTCAGCTGAGAAGGCTCGGAGAGAGGCGCGTCCAGCCCTGCCCTGTCCAGACACGGTCGCTGAAGCCCAGAGAGGAGCTAGGCCCTGTGAGGGCTGCGTTCACCGCCTGGGAGCCTGGGGCTGCATTAGATCTGCCAAGTCAAGCAGGGGCTTAGTGATGAACCCCCTAATGGTCTGCTCCTTGGGGGCCCCTGTGGGTGCAGATCACAGGGGAGTGGGTGCAGGCTGATCAAGGCTTTCGGATTTGCTGAAGAGGCAGAAGGGCTGGAGAATCTGAGTTCTGCAACCAAGTGTCAGTGTGTGACACTTGTGTGACATCAGTGGCTGGGTCTCCTCATCCTTGTCCCCTTCCCTGTCCCTGGGCCCTGTGCTCCAGTCCCGTGAAGGCACCACATGCTGTTCCCCAGACATACAACGTTCTTCTTCCATCTCACCGAGCCTTCCATCCTCTTGCTCCTGCAGCCCGAGCTGCCCTTTCCCGACTCCTGCTGTTTCAAGGTTCAGGCCAAGCTCCGCACGGATCTCTGCTCCCTTCCTGCCTGCCTCACGGACTCCTGCTCCCTGGGAGTCACCTGCCTCCTTTTGCACCCCCTCACCCTTGTATCAGGAGCCGGGATACCTGGTTCCTCTCTTTATTCACCTGTCCGCCTACCTTTAGCATGTGAGCCTCTTGGAGGTGGCGGCCTCGCCTTATTCTCCTCCATACCCGCACACTTGTGCAAGGTCGGACACACAGTCAGGGTTTGTTAAATGTTTGCCGAGAATGGGCTACACTCAGAAAGCAAAAGGGACAAATACCTTCAGTGAGATTTACTAGGGCTTTTGAAAGCATCAAGTGTATGTAATTATGGAGAAACATATGGAAATAATACAACTAAACTTAGAAATTTACCTTGGTTAAAAATATCATAATACAGAAATGAGCTTAAAGACTATTTAATGAGTCCCCGATCTTAAGATGGAATCTCATTTTTAAACATTTTAAGTACATCCTGTTTATCGAAAGTGTAATAACTTTTTTAAAAGGTCCAGATGCCTTGGGCAATTCTTGAGCAGGAATATTTCTGAAATTTGTTAAGCTTCTTTTTTCCAAAGAGAGAAAGAAAGAAAAAAGGAAAGGGAGGGAATGAGCGAGGGAGAGAGGGAGGGAGAGAAGGAGGGAGG